ACTTTTTTCCTCCATCCATCCATTTTGTTAATGCGCATGTGCAGTTTTTGTGTAAAGCCTACAGAAACATTACAGCCAAGCACTGAAAACAGTACTCGGACTCTTTGACCTTTGTGAACATATTGTGATATTGCTGTGTTGTGTCTGTCTGTGTGTGCAGGATGGACATTCCCAGCAGGTTGGAGGTGTGGCAGGAGCTGGTTGAGAGTTGCGGTCTCATTACAGTCCAGCAAGGCCTCCAGCAGGTGTGGAGGCTGTTGCTACTCTGCCTGCTCTGCAGACTCTGTTTCACACTGGGTGAGCTTCACTCGCTGCACAGGAGCACACGTCCCAGCTGCTGATTACAGTTATCGCTGGACGCAAATGGGTAGTCAGAGCTGCAGAACATCTTCTGCTCAGCCACCTGTGATTTGGCTGAAAATGTTATGGTTTAAAGTTTGGACATGTATGTTTCACATGTTCTCTGTAAAATGTCATCATCATATGACAAGTAGTTTTCTAAATATTCCAGCCTTTTTGACATACTGGGAGGAACAAAAACATAAGTGCCAATGTAAACATCTTCATCCATACAAGTAAATACAGTAAACCAGTTAAGGGTAATGACAGGGGAATAGTCACTTATTTCACACGAGTGTGTGTGTGTGTGTGTGTGTGTGTGTGTGTGTGTGTCTCTGTGTGTGTGCATATAAAAGTTTGACACACCTTCCTTTTTAATGTTTTTTTCTTTATTTTCATGACTATTTACATTTTAGATTCTCACTGATGGCATCAAAACTATGAATGAACACATGTGTAAATAACTTAAAACATGTTTTATATTTTAGATTCCTCGATATTTGCCACCCTTTGCTTTGATTACTGCTTTGAACACTCTTGGCCTTCTCTCCATGAGCTTCATGAGGTCATCTCCTGAAATGGTTTAACAACAGTCTTGAAGGATTTCCCAGAGATGCTGAGCACTTGTTGGTCCTTTTGCCTTCACTCTGCGGCCCATCTTATCCCAAATCATCTCCACTGGGTTTAGGTCAGACCATCTGGTGCACTCCATCACTCTCCTTATTTTATCTGGGCTCTAATCTGAGCTGCTGTTAACTTGTGGTTTCTGAGACTGGTGACTCGGATGAATTTATCCTCAGCGGCAGAGGGGACTCTGGGTCTTCCTTTCATGGGACAGTCCTCATGTGAGCCAGTTTTGGTGGTTTTTGCAACAGCACTTGGGGACACAATCAACACTTTTGCAATTTTCTGGACTGACTGACCTTCAGTTCTTGAAGTAATGATGGGCTGTTGTTTCTCTTTACTTAGCTGATTGGTTCTTGCCATAATATGAATTCTAACAGTTGTCAAATAGGGCTGTCAGCTGTGTACCACATGACTGCTGCACAACACAACTGATGGTCCCAACCTCATTAAGAAGGCAACAAATGAACCCTGACAGGCACACCTGTGAAGTGAAACCATGAGAGAAGGACGAGGGTTTGCAGCGCTGTCAACAAAGCAAAGGGCGGCTACTTTGAGGAATCTGTGATATAAAACATATTTAGAATTATTTATCAGGGGTTTTTTTGCTACATAATTCCATATATCTTGCTTCATATATATGATGTCTTCAGTTTGTATGTACAATGTCGAAAGTAATAAAAATAAAGAAAAAATATTGAGTGAGATGATACATATATATATTCAGCATTAGTCAGAAATAATCTTATTGCTGTTTTGATTTGTTTAGAGCCTCAGACTAGCTATTAAAAATTATTTTAAAATATTAAAAATTGAAACCTTGTGGACGAGGACCATGTTTAACTTTATTATGCTCTGCAGTCTAAGTGTCTGCAACAACAACAGGCTACTTGTGATTACGTTTCTAAGTGCGTCCTGCTTTGCTTCCTCAGGTGTGGTGTCTACTGTGAAACATGTAGTGTCAGCGCTGGCTGGGATGTTTGGCCTCTTCCTGTTCTTTGAGCAGCACATGCAGTGGATTCTGCTGCTCACTGCTCTCTGTTACTTCATTCTGCTGCTCTGCCGACACTCGAGCAGCCACGGCCTCTTCGTCTCAGGTGTCGTCCTTATCTATATCCTAACAGGGTGAGAAACGCAGACAAAAACACTTTTGTACCAGGAAAATTGCTCCTCAGTGTTTTCTAAACATTTGCACAGAGAAAAGGCTGGCAGTAGACAGTAGGGCACTCCTCTGGAGGCTAACGCTCTGTAACCTGTTGGCTGCTCCTTATTTTGAAAGCTTTTTTATAACAAAGAGTTTTGCTTACCTTCCAAACCAGTGTCACATACAATACCAGTCAAAAGTTTTAGAACACACTAATTTCTTCCAATTATTTTTTTATTAAATATTACGCTGTTTAATGTCTCATTGCACTCTGTAATGAAAGCATAATACAAAAACGCAATTACAGCTGGAAACTCTTCTGTCCAGTTCAAACCAGCTCGATGGGGTTTAAGTCTGGAGACTGTGCTGGACACTCCGTGTTTTCAAGCTCACCATCTTGTTCTTTGTTCCTGAGGTAGTTCTGGCACAGCTTGGATCAATGTTTTGGGTCTTTATGTTGCTGTAGGGTGAATCCCTGACCAACTAGGTGCATACCAGAGGGTCCTGCATGGTGCTGCACAGTGCTGTGGTTTTGGTTCAGGGAGCCTCTCACTCTGTACAGTCACTGGCCCTGGATCCAGTAAAACAGCCCCAGACCATCACACTTCTTCCTCCATGTTTGACCGTTGATGCCACACACAAAGATCCTGTGTGATGAACCGAGGATTTCAAATGTTGATCCATCAGTCCATAATACCTTCCAGCCTAGGCAAGCCTCTTTGTCTTGCCTGGCTTTCTTGCTGCAACTCATCCTGTCAAACCTGCAGCTCAAAGTCTTCTCTTCACAGCTGAAACTGAGACTTTCTTACTACGACCACTGTTAAGCTGCTTGAAGCTGTTGTCCTGTCAGCCGCCTATCACACAGCTGTTAACTTGGCCTCTGATTCAGTTGTGTCTTTGGGTCTACAGACTTTGTTTCTGAGCCTTTGGATGATGAAGCAAACTGGACTCACTGACACCTTGACTTTCTTTGCAGTTTCTCTGTAGGACAGACCGACAGTGTTATGATGGTCTGTCTCTCTTCCATTGTTAATCACCTTTTTCCTCTCCATTCTTGCACCATCACTCTACCTTCTGCAGTACAATACTGTTCAACTGATGCTCATGAGGGTATGGTACCACAGTGTGTTCCAGCACTGCTTTTATGCAGACAGAGGGGATTGGAAGTAAATCAACAGAGTTCTCATAATTAGTATGAAAGCAGTAAGGGTTAGAACTTCCATACAAATTGATAAATAAGATAGTAATTAAGTTAAGTCAGTTGATGCCAATCAAGTGCTCTTAACAAGTGTCACAGTCTTCCCAGGAGTGGACGGTCCTAGCAAAATTCAGTTAGGCTCAGGCCCGAAGTGCTCAGGAAGTGCAGACGACTCTGCTGCTCTGCAGGCTGCATGTTCAGGACTGCAGGATTTCACAGGGTTTTTTTTTTCCATCACACTTGGTGTGCAAACACCTTAACTGTTAAAGTTCTCGACAGTACAATTAGAGAAATACTGAACAAGTGTGGCTTGTTGGGAAGGTTTGCCAGGAAAAAATCCTCTTCTCTCTAAAAAGAACATTGCAGCATGGATTAGGATTGTACAATTGCATCTGAACAAATCACAAGACTTCAAAAACATCTTTTGGGCCGATGAGACCAAAGTGCAGACGTCTGGCCACAACGCACAGTGTCACATTTGGAGAAAACCAAACATAATACATGAGCACACAATACTCAAGTATTCTAGAGTCATATGTTAGGCTGTCTGTCTGACAGCTCAAGTTGGACAATGATCTCAAAGTGATGCAGACCTTAACCTGACTGAACCTTCAACTTTGTAATGGGGCCCAAAGCTCTGTAACAAAATAAATAGCATCAGTAAGATGTCACTAATGAAGAAGATTATGTAATAATAAAAGAACTATGTGGTACAGCATGAAATGAAACATTTTTTAGAAGGCAAGAAGATTGTAGCTGTTATCTCACAGTGCTGGCTGAGCCTGCAATTACATTTACATGGAGCCTAATACAGCCATTTCAATCCAAATAAACAGGCCCAAGCTGTACAGAATTTCAGTCAGTTGAAGATGTTTTTTTTTTCTCAACTTTTCCATGTAATAGTCTGAAAATAATCCAGGTGATTGTTTTCTTGCTGTGTTCTTCCTGCGTGTCCTCTGACTTCACATACCAATAAGGTGACATATGTTATCAAGATGAACTGCTTTTAATCCATACTCTTAAACACTGATAGAATATGTACAAAATAATGGCTACCCCCTGTTATGTTATAAGATGGCTTTATCAGAGACCCAGGCAGAGTTAGATTTAGTTAGATTTTTTTTAAAAGCCTGACTCTAATGCAAAAAGTCAAAAAACAATTTTGTTGTCAGTGCGCCCCAGGGTGGCTGTGGCTACAATGTAGCTGCCATCACCAGTGTGTGAATGGGTGGATGACTGGATATGTAAAGCGCTTTGGGGTCCTTAGGGACTAGTAAAGCGCTATATAAATACAGGCCATTTACCATTTACCATCTATGGTCCTCCTGGCCTGTACTCAGATTTCTTATAATTATTGTGGGCATTTTTTAGCATCCATGTAGATGCTGAAAATGAAAGTCAATGGAACATGTTACTTTTTTTTTTATTAGAGTTGATTGGCCTCTCTCAAAGTGTATATGATCCCACTGATTGTTTTAATCACACTCTGAATCTCATCCTGACCAGGGATGTACAGTATCCCAATACTGATACTAGGTTGTGTTATCATGCTAACACAACCTAGCCAAGAAGCCCAATACTGAGCCTGTCCTCGCCTAAGAAATAAAAATGTCTGATAATCTGATGCATTAAAAATTGCAAAAATGCTTCACAAAACTTAATGGAGCTGCGCTATGTGCTGCCAAAGCAGCATTTCATCAGCAAAATGCCTGTCCCAGATACGTACAAGCAAGTACAGTGGCTTGCAAAAGTATTCGCCCCCCTTAAACTTTTCCACTTTTTGTCACATTACAGCCACAAACATGAAACAATTTTATTGGAATTCCCCATGAAAGACAAACACAAAGTGGTGCACACGTGAGAAGTGGAACGAAAATCATACATGATTCCAAACATTTTTTACAAATAAATAACTGCAAAGTGGGGTGTGCGTAATTATTCAGCCCCCTGAGTCAATACTTTGTAGAACCACCTTTTGCTGCAATTCCAGCTGCCAGTCTTTTAGGGTATGTCTCTAGATTCCAAGAGGTTTTCTTCCAAGATTGCCCTGTATTTGGCTCCATCCATCTTCCCATCAACTCTGACCAGCTTCCCTGTCCCTGCTGAAGAGAAGCATGATGCTGCCACCACCATATTTGACAGTGGGGATGGTGTGTTCAGAGTGATGTGCAGTGTTAGTTTTCTGCCACACATAGCGTTTTGCATTTTGGCCAAAAAGTTCCATCTTGGTCTCATCTGACCAGAGCACCTTCTTCCACATGTTTGCTGTGTCCCCCACATGGCTTGTGGCAAACTGCAAACGGGACTTCTTATGGTTTTCTGTTAACAATGGCTTTCTTCTTGCCACTCTTCCATATAGGCCAACTTTGTGCAGTGCATGACTAATAGCTGTCCTGTGTGTAAAAAATGTTTGAAATCATGTATGATTTTCGTTCCACTTCTCACGTGTACACCTCTTTGTGTTGGTCTTTCACGTGGAATTCCAATAAAATTGATTCATGTTTGTGACAAAATGTGGAAAAGTTCAAGGGAGCCGAATACTTTTGCAAGCCACTGTATGCAAGTTCAGGTCCTTGAGGCAACTGTTGTTGTGATTTGACGCTGTATGAACAGAATAGCCCTTTATTGACATTTTAAATAGAATTGAATTACATTGAATTGAACTGAATTACTCTCTGAATGGTTGGAGAGCATTCCCACTTTAAATGTAAGAACTGATATGTGGAGCTCAGTGTGTTTTTAAAAGTAATACAGTATGTTACTTAATTACTTGTTGGAGAAAGTAATTTGCTACACTACTTGTTACATTGATTTCTCAATTCTCTTTAGAATGACCTGAATCACATGTCACACCCATATGGAAAAGAAATAGAAAAAACTTATAAAAGACTTGCATAAGATTTGGCTTACTTCATATAGTGAATCATATAAGGCTTATATGATTTACTCATGAAAGTGGCCACTTTCTCATTACTTTCATATATTGTTTTAGTAAGTATCCAAAACATACAAGTTTCATTTATATACTTTTTCAAGGGATCTTATATCTGTTTTCACTCTTGTATGCTTTTCATACAAGTTTCACACAAGACAGATACAAACTTTATAAGATTTATATACCGTATATCCTTTCCATATGGGCATAATTACCATGTAACTGTATACACCTTGGGCTACAAACCCACACAAACACAAATCCATATCCTAATGAGGATACAGTATTTGGGTATGAACAGGAAGCCAACAGCACCGAAAGATTTTGAAGTGATCGGCACGGTGATGCTACTTTAGAAAAATGAGCCAGTAGAAACAGAGATTGCAACCTGACTGATCATCAGTTTGTTACCTGGTGAAGTTCATGGCTGGCTGGGCTGGGGTTGGCATTCACTCAGCTTGAACATCACTCTGGGTTCTTGGCTAGGTTGTGTTAGCATGATAAATGGACTGCTTTTCTACTCTACCTCTACACTTTATACAAGATTTTTCTACGCGTAAGTAGCATTAGAGAGGGTTAGTGTCTTATCTTTTGGCATGCAGACTGGAGCAGGGATGGAACCACCAACCTTCCAATTAGTAGATCACCTGCTCTATTCCTCAGCTACCCATGCTGTTTGTGCAGATGCTTGCAAAGAGCTGAAGGTGTTTTAGCAGCATAATGTGTTGCTTCTGTCCTGGGTGCACTTTGATTACAAAAAATTCTTGACACAAATTCTTTCCTTTGTGTAATGCACGGCTCTGTAGCGCCGATGTCTTTAACAATGTAAACACGAGTGTTTCACCCACATTAGCAACTAAAAATAGACCTGCAATGGAAATCTATTTAGGAGCAGCGTGTGAACAAAAAGTCTGACAACATTGAGCCCACACAGCCCGCAGTTTTTGGCAAGCAGACTGATAACATAACAGTAGCAGTGATGACGTTCCTGGCAAGGTTAAACATGGAGCCGGAGTCTGTTTACACACCACGAAGAGCAAAGAGATGGAGCCGTTACTGAGCTCAGGTTGAGTGAAACAAAACGTGTTTCTAATCCAAAACAGCAGTGCTGTTCCTGTGATCACCATTAAAACCTTTACTGGGAAACACTATCGGGAGTCCTTCATCCAAGCACCTGATTAACAAACTCTGACGTGAAGAAAAACAAACTTTGTAGCTGCTCCATCCACCGCCGATTGTTCTGCAGTAAAGCTTTTAATAAAAGTGTTCTATTTAATATGTGAAATAATTAGTTTTTTGAGTAACCTTTTTTTTTTGACCTACAGCTGTGCAATTAGTTTGCACAAATGTCTTTTTTATTGATGCTTCATAATGGTAGTTACTCTCAAAACAGAGTCAGTGAGAATCGATAAGTGATTATGGAACTGGAATTGCTAATTTATTTTATCTATTTCCATCCCTATGCATTACTGAAAAATGGGATTACGTCCAACACTATTTACAAGACACCGCCAGCAATTATAACAAGTCAGTAGGAAACGCTGTGAAACTTGTGAAAATACAGTTAAAAGTCAAAAATATCTGCTTGTTTGTGGTGAGCAGCAGATCAACCAAGTTAAGAATTTTAATGGCATCATGCACACATTCATTTAGACACGTAGACACTGAGCCATGGCTCTGTGCTACATATTTCTGCAGACACTTTTATATAGTTTATTTTATGTAATATTTAATACTGAACTGTGAATTTAGTCTTTTTCAAGGTAGCAAGTTTTTTTTATTCTGTTTTCATAAAACTTTACTTTTATACACTATATTTACGCATTTTATACATTTACTACTACTACTGGGTTTACACGAGGTTTAAGTCCTTTACAAGTTTGAAACTTTTTGCCCTTCATAATGGAAAATTGCTGAAAATAAAAGTGGGTATCACTTCAGCTAGGTCCTAATTTTATAAATTCTACACTCAGGTTTGAGGTTATCACTGAAATGCATCCAGATGCATACAGAGTTTACGTTTTCACTTGTTTCTTCATTTTTTTCTCAACACGCTTGCATTTAAATCTCTCTGTGTACCTGGCCTGTACCAACACACTTATTGTCTTTTGAACATCTGCCCCCTTCCTTCTTTCACATAATGTCTTTGAATGTGATTAGCTGCATGGTCTGTCCATCAAAGTAAAGTCCCACCCCTGCCTGTATATAATAAGTGTGCACTCAGACAGTGCACTCCTGTGCAGGCAAGTCAACCAACCTAGATCTGGTTTCTGCAGCAGCCATATTTCTCTGTGCACCTACAACAAGTGTGCAAACCAGGAGACTCGCTATCGATAAAAGGAGAACCAAGCAGACAGCTGAGAAGGCTCAAGTGCTGTTTTTTGTAAAGAAGAAGCTGCAGCTAATCTTAACGTGAACGTCACTCTTACAGTAGAGTTGTGAAAAGAAAGAGTCTTGCAGTCTTAGGCCGTGTCTTATCTTAGGGTCCAGCTAAAACCAAACATCTGAGGTCAGTGTGTTTGGAAATGTTTTCATGTTAACCTTGCCTTTAGTTAAAAACATTGTTGAAAGGTTAGTTGTCAAACAGCTAAGAGAGCATCTGCAGAGGAATGATTTATATGAAGACTTTAATTCAGCATTTCGATGCACCACAGCACAGAAACAGCTTTAGTGAAGGTTGCAAATGATCTTCTCATGGCCCGTGACAGTGGACTCCTCTCTGTGCTTGTCCTTTTAGACCTCAGTGCAGTGTTCAGTACTTTTCACCATAATATTCGATTACAGAAATCACAACACTACACAGGTAATAAGTGACCTATCTGTTGAAACATTGTAGAGCAGATAAAGTTTTCCTTGTGGTGAGATTTTATTTCATTTTAATAAGTATATCCTTGTAAACTGGATGTGTTCCAGCTAAATATAGTCTTAATATAGTCTTGGTTTTTAATACACCATCATTATTTAAAGCAGTTGTCAATGATGAAAAGTACAGTTGCAGTCTGAGTTCTCATGCCTAAACTTAGAGACAAATAGAGCAGTTGTACATGTCTATCTAGGAGCTGCAATTCCTATAATAATTTAGTAATTCATTTCCTTTAGTGCTGCACTGTCCAGCTTCTAGAGTAGCATTGATGGCTTATCATGTTACTTTTCTGCCTCTTCTTTTTAGAGAGTTGCATTTAATTGACACGGTGACCTGGCACAAAATAAGAGGTAAATATTACATCAATTTTTTTTTGTTCCTAGTTAATCTTCTGTAATTTTTTTTGCAATTTTCATTTTGTGTCTTGGAGAAACATTTAAAGGTTTATTTTAGCCTTTGTACTGTTTATCTTTTGTTCCCTGTACGGCAACTTTGTATGGCAACAAATTAAATATATTCTTCTTATTATTATTATTATATTTACACCCAGTCATCATGGGCATGAGTATCATTGTAATTTATGTCTTTAAATTATTTCTTTAAACCCCCTTTTCCAGGTTGGAATCTGTATAGCATAGATCTTTAATTTGGGGGATAAGTATGACTTCCTCTAGTCCACACAGGGTTTAAAATGGATACAGGCTAAATGGTGTGAATGTGTGAGTGAATGTGAGAGCGAATGGTTGTCTGTCCCTGTGTGTTGGCCCTGCGACAGACTGGCGACCTGTCCAGGGTGTACCCCGCCTCTCGCCCCATGACAGCTGGGATAGGCTCCAGCGCCCCCCCGCGACCCTGGAAAGGATAAGCGGAAGCGAATGGATGGATGGATACAGGCTAAATGCTGTGAAAACATTTTTCCCTAGGTTTCATATCATCAAACACATTTTTAATATTAGACAAAGCCTGAGTAAATGCAGAATGTCTGATTACAGCCACATCTGCTAAGTCAAGACGTCACTTAATAAATAGGACTTGTCTGAAAACGTGAAGGAGGATAAAAGATCTCAAAAAGCAATATTTCCTGCTACGATGTAATGAAACAGCTGAGAAACAAAGTCAGTATGGAAAGGGTTACATGTCTAAAGCTTTAGGACTCCAGTGAGCCACAGAGAAATTGGTGCGGTGCCTACCAAAAAGCATCTGGTTGAGGTCCAAGTATTAGTGCAGATGTATGTATACTTTCAACCTGGTGTAGCTTAGAGAAAATCCTGATTAATTCATAATAAAACTTGTGCACCCAGTTGTTGTTTTTAAAGTAATTAAAGTTGTATGCTTTAGACTCTACCTTGGAAAAAGAACAGTTTGATAAATTACCATGGCATTCATGCCCCTAATACCTATACAGCACATGAAAGCTCAGTCCAACATGTTAGAAAGACTTGATAGCACATATATGATGCAGCTCATAGACTGAAAAAATGACCATTGTGAACTATAGTATATTGGTCATATATATGTACATCTGTAATGTATAAAAGTTGGGTCAAGCCTCACAGCAGACACCTTTGAGATTTACTCTTAATAAGATTATATTCAGACTAGGTTAGCTTATAATAGTGACTTCTATGAGGAAGTGATTCCTCATAAAATGTGAATGTAGTATCCTGTAACGGTAACAAATTACTTTGTTTTTGTGTCTCTTTGAGGCTCTCAGATGGTGGTGGCCATGAAGGCCATTTCTGTGGCCTTTGACTTGGACAGAGGTGCACTGAGCAGCCTGCCCTCGCTCACGGAGTTCCTGGGCTATATTTTCTTTGTGGGTACTGCCGTCTTTGGCCCTTGGATCAGCTTCTCCAGTTATAAGAATGTTATTGAAGGCACAAAACTTGTGAGTAACTGCCAGTTCTACCTTAATCTGCATGCTTTCTAGTCTTGTATGGCACTGTGATGGTAATGATGGATTTGGGTTTCAGAGCTGGTTGTGGCTGCATACCTCTAGCGGCAGTCTAGTGAAGAGTCAGATCTGTTTGCTAATCTCCACCTGTATTGCCCCATACCTTTTCCCGTGGTTCATCCCGATCCATGGAAACTCTGTCACAAAGAAGTAAGAGATTTTAATTCAATCGTTGCTCTTTTTACACCCAGAGCACTGTTCCACTACACTGCTTTGACACTATACTGTCTGTCTTTCTTTCTCTGCTTCCAAGATACATTTGAGAAAGGTAAGGCTTTGCCCCAAGTATTAACATTTGTTCAAATTCCCAAGTATAGAAACTATTTACTCATGTTCTGATGATGGTATCATAGTGTAGTGTCATACTTTTCTCACTTCTTGTAATTGGCACTGTAGTCTTTGTCTTCTCACACACATAACAGTATATCTTCAGTTTGTTATACAGAAGATTAGAAGCTAATATGCATCTGCACTGGTTTTAATTAGTATGACTTGAGAGTCTTCCTTCTGGTGATTTCAGACACTGAAATGAAGGCATGACACACAAGCATATCATACTCATATCAAATGTAATAGAAGTGTTTAACAGAGACAGAAGAAACTTGGCAGCTGTGAAAATAAAAAGGGAAAAAATGACGCACTGTTTCTTATATTAAACTCAATAGGGCCGATTTAATCAACAGAATGGTGCAAAGTAGGGATACTTTCCCAGGAAAATATCGGACAGAATGTGATGAGGAGCTCTGATGAGAAGACAGCCAGTTTAGTGTTTACTTAGGAGTCTAATCTTAGAAGGTTTAGATTATAAATAGGAACAAATGTCACACAGTAAGTCAAAATATCATAACATCTTGGTCATGAGAACAATTCTGTGACACTCGATAGATATGTGTGTCTGTATTTGTAATTGTTATGTGATCCGTGATGTATGACTTTTAACCCCATTTATGATCTAAACCTTAAATGATTAGACTATGGATTAAATAATTATGTTTTATTCTATTTTAATACTGTTTTTATTTTATTTGTGCTCCATTGCTAGTCTTTCTTTTTTACAGTTATGAACTGAATACACTGTTATCCAAAACATTTTTGCATATCTGTTTGTGCAGCTGGCTAATTCCGGTTTGTCTTATTCCCATTGCTTTGATAAGGAGCTCTTACATACAGTGACTCAGGTGTACGAGTTGTTTAGATTATCTGCATGCTTGAAGAAAAAAAATGACGTCGGTGTATCAATCATAGTGTCGTAAGAGGAAGCAATATGAGATCAGCAGATGAGTAGTCCAGTCAGAAATCAGTCCACCTCTGACGTTTTATGGAAATGAATAACTTGCTGGGTGAGAACTAGCACTAGAAGTCTGATTGCTCGAGTTATTTGGCTTTAACGTGATCTGCTGTAATTATTTGTTGTGTGCCAGCCAGAGATTATTTAATGATGATGTGTGTATGTGACTTGATTGTGGTGTGTTGCATAGGTGGCTGCATGCTTACGAGAATGCAGTGTCCTTCCACTTCAGTAACTACTTTGTGGGTCACTTGAGCGAAGGCACCAGCATGCTGGCCGGAGGAGGATTCACTGAAGATAAAGACAACACAAGATGGTAAGATTAGCTGATCTGCGATTAGCTGATCTGCTATCAGCTGCTCTGCTCTCTTCATCCTGGAAATTGTTTAATCAACAGTCAAGTTTTTCAACCCTCTAGAATAATCTACTGTAAAACAAGGCAGAATTGAAGAGCATCATTGGGTGTAATGGCAGGTTTCCAATCTAGCTTATTATATGATAGCAGTATAGTGCAACAGGCTCTGCACAGCAAAATGCCCCAGATTGCTTGAACCAAACATTGCTAAGACAATTCTAGCTGGAGCGGACAAACAAAGATTCCTGAAGAAGGGAAGAAAAGTCTTGCACAAAGCAACTGGGAATAACAAGGCAGGCTAGTAGCAACACAAAGAATGACATGCTGCCGGAGACTGACTTGGTGCCAGTCCAAGAAGATTCACATTAGAAATCTGACTGTGATTCAAATTTTTTTAAAAAGTGGAAAAAAACAAGCTGTGTGCGTGTGTGTGTGCGTGTTGTGCAGGGATATGAAAGTGGTGAAGCCTCTCAGTGTGGAAATCCCTCGCTCCATGGTGATGGTGGTTACATGCTGGAACATCCCCATGTCTCGCTGGCTTAAAACCTGTAAGTCTCAATCTTCTCTGTCTGTTAAACTTTCCAGAGTGTCGAATTTAAGGATGCCAAAATTTATTGAACCGACAGAAGCAGAAGCAGACGGCTCTTCTAGTGTGTACACACTGAAAGGGAATTGCAGCAATGAAAGAACTGTAGAATGTGAACCATCTTTGGCGACTAGAGGCACCATAAACAAGTACTGAGAGTATTGTCAATTGTTACATTTGTTTCTATATATATAAAATCAATGTTTGTCTTTTAATTTCTTTGAAAGATACCATATCTAATTAACAGAAATAACAGCAAACAAGATCTTAGTTAGCTTAACTCTAGCTTTTATTAAAAGGTGTAACTTGAACCTCCTTGTTGCTTACTGGAGTTGTTCACAGGCTCAGTGAACACAGGCCTGCCTCTTACTGCAGGGACAACAACTAACACTGTTACTGAGTGATGAACGTTTAGAGGTTTTAGTAACAACATATTATTCTTAATATATCTCTCTGGGTTTCTGTTAACTCCTTGGCTAGGTTTAAGAGGATTAAGACAGGCTCTGAGTGTTCGTGAAGAGTTACAGATGACTAGGAAAGTACAGCTGGAGTCCTGAGGGAAACTGCAGAGGAGGTTTTTGATGGAACCTCTGGGAAGTAGACAAGGAGACTTTGTGCTGGAATGAGAAAGAAGAGTATTTAAAGAAGCTGGCAAAGAAAAAATGACATGAATACAATATACAGGAGTAGCGTACAGTAAAAAGAGGTGCAGGGCTCTAGACTAACTTTTTGCCACGGTTGCACTGGTGCACCTTGATGCCCACCAGCACAAAAGTTAGGCGCACCCAAATTTTTCAACCGCATCGCTTAACACAGCAGTTTTACATGTGCACTTTTGGGGGGGAAATTGCTGTCCATACAGACAATATTGATTTGTAAATGATTAATTAACAATCTTGTCAATACAAAGTTCTTTATTTGGAGCACATTTCTACAAGAAAGATAAGTTACTGAAAAAGTGCTTGTGCTTAAAGTGCGTTGGCACTCTTTGGTGATATTGTAGGTAGGGCTGGGCGATATATCGAGTTTTTAAAAAATATCGATATATTTTTATACGAGATATAAGGTGTGACAATATCCTTTATATCGATATAGTCTATGTTACGTTATAATTATACTTGTGGAGCCGCAAGTTTGCCTCTCTTTCGTCCACTTTCATCTTTACGCAACGTTACTCGGCCTCGCCCCTCCTTCACTGAACACAGCTCCCCCTCCTCCCCCATCGCTTCACCTGCAGGAAGCGACAAGATGTTAACGGACATTTGCCGTGTCCGAGTTACTGCACATCGCCCCGTGCGTGGGGCTGGACGCCGTCAACGTGTTAGCTAGCTAACCACGCTAACGAGCTAACCACGCTAACGCCATGCAGCCCAGAGGCGCTGCACAGCCTAAAATCCTTGCATTTTCTCAAAAGTTGACAGCGCGCCTTATGTATGAATTCGGGTTGTGCTTGATGGCCGCGAACCGATTTTATGTGGTACACGGCGCTCAGCAATCTGTCAAAAATGTTTTAGTACGACTTTAATGAGCTGCACCGCTTGATGGATTGTCAGAGCATTACAGCTACCGAGGAGCCTCGCGGAGTGATACGTACTGTGCTTCAACGTAATATTACCCTACTGTGTATAAGGACTATAAATGGCACCTTTTAAGAGACGTGGTTACGAAGAGGATTTCAAACTCAATGCTGTCAGTCACACAGTAGAAGTTGGGAACAGAGCAGCTGTGAAAGCTGTCTTTGTTATTATGCTCAGCGTCTGTTAGTTTACATTTTGACTGCACAATTGTGAGCTTTTTGTTATGCACAAAAACAACATTGTTTTCTTTTATTTATGGAGCATGATTATTTAATAAATGCTCATAATTTATTTTTGAGTAAATCTTATGCTCTATGTTAATAAAAGTGCCTGTGTGACATCTGGGACACAGCTTTGACTAAGAACTCTCTTTTTGTTCTTACTTTATGGCTTTAAAAAAAATATGAGATATATATCTTATATCGCCATCCAGCTAAAAAATATCGAGATATGAATTTTGGGTCATATCGCCCAGCCCTAATGTAGGCAATGTTAAATTTAATTATCACATCGGCCCCCTCTGATGACCTGTTTTGCTGCTGCCTGCAGCAGTGGGTAGAGGGGACACTTGGGCCGTGCGTTTATCGTGTTTTTGGATACACTGTGCTTGTTCAGCGTTCATGGCTCCATGTCAGAGCACTGGCTATGAATTTCAGACAAATTAGGCCTTAACAAAAAAGTTATCAATAGTTCTTATCATCTTTTCTCATTACCCACAGCTACATCCACTTCTGTCAGGCCTAGGCTGCTCACTAGGGCTGGGTATCGTCACTGATTTCTATAATCCATTCGATTCACGATTCACGAGGTCCCGATTTGATCATTCAATTTTGCCTCAGACACAGAAATATTATAATTCTGATCATTATCATACTGATACATGTGAGACGTTATCAGAGGTGTGAGCATCACAGCAGATGCCTTTGTGTGAAAGTAACTGAGGATAAAACACAGAAAAACATGAAGGAGATTTTCCTGGCCTGGCTTTTTATAGCAGATAACCTTAAAAATATTCTGCAATTTTGCATAATTTTAAAAAGTTTAAATTTCTTCAGTATTGAACAGCAGAAATTAGGCTTTCTTGTCCGAGGTCATTTAAGTTAAAAAAAAAAAGAAAAAGACAGCACGACAGCGCTGTAAACAACGGTAGACTGGTGGGTAATAAGCGAATGAATAATGCAGAAAACAGAGATTTGAGATGGGAAACTGTTCTTGAAGTACACGAGAGAGAGAGAGAGAGAGAGAGCTGTGCATGAAGTTTGATTTTTATCGTGGTGGAAGCAAAACAGCAAAAGTAAGAGAAGATTAATGACGACATTTATGAAATGTGAAGCATAGTTTGGATATTCTTTTGCTGCTGGTTCAGTGAATTTTGGTTGGAGAGAGATAAAACCTGCAGCTCAGAATCTAGCACAAAAAAGACGTAAACACAAAGCGGGACATATCAGAATCTGTGAGCTGTCGGCTTTCAGCCCCGAGGGTGTGTCCGTGTACAGGCCGTTGGGTGAGAAAGCCCAGAAAGACAAAGCTAATTCTGATGCGTCGGGTCCGCTCTGTGTTTATGTCATTGTGTGAAATCCGTTTACCTGCTCTCATTTGCTGTTTGGCGGTTGTTGAAATAGTTTTGAGAGCTTTAACCTGAGATTCTGGTGTTTCTGGCAAAATACATTTATATTTAAAAGTCGATTCAGATTTAATGAATTGTTATTGCTTTATTCAAGCTACTCACATCTCTCTATCCACCTGGCACCTGCACTTTCGAACTTACACACAAAGTACTACAGGAATATCTGGACCAAGGGCAATCAGAGAGGTCCCGCCCCTGACTATCTCTGATTGGTTTATACCACGATAGGGGCATAATGTGTGTCTGTTGTTGACCACAGGGAGACTTTCAGGGTTGCGGAGACTTTTTCCCCCCCACTCGAACAGCTAGACCAGTGTGACCTAAGATTTTTTTAGTGGCACCATCGAAAAATTTGGTCGGACTCTAGAGCCCTGAGGTGGAAAAGGTTTCTCGAGGGTTGAATATGAGGCTCAACACTAAGGAAAGAAAAAAGAATCTGTGGATTGGCAGAGAGATTGAGCTCATGAGCATGAAAACTGCAAAGGTGGTTGGTCCAGATTCAGTTCAGTTCAATTCAATTTACATAGCACCAGCTCACAACAACAGTCACCTCAGCGCACTGTATACTGTAAGGTAAAGACCCTACAGTAATACAGGCAACATACCTGTGGAGGTATGGCGATGTCTAAGAGATAGTGGAGTAGGGCTGCCACGATTAGTCGACTAGTCACGATTACGTCGACTATCAAAATCGTCGACGACTGATTTAATAGTCGACGCCTCGTTTGAAGCTTTGTAAGATCCCAAAAGACGCAGGAATAAGTAGTAGGATTTAAGAGTGTAATAACGGACTGAAACAGAAGATATGGCAGCAGCAGTTTTAATATTACTCTTATTATTCTTTCTGGGTCACAAAATAAACGTTTAACATATTTTCAGGCGAGAATTTATCTGTGTAAACTTCAAATATCTGCTCAATTTATCAAGACGCCACATATTTTCAAAAGCGCTCCGACGTTTTCGGAGACGTCTGTTACCCACCAGCTCGATAGCTAGCCGGGGTTCAAGGCTCACTAGAGCCCCTGAGAACACCGGACTCCCGGCAAATCGTTTTCAAACCCACCGCCGTTTTTCGCTACTCAGGTTAAACATGATATATAAGTCACTTATATTCAGTATTTTATTTGTTCCTGAGTAAATCGGTTTGGCTGAGATTAAAGTTATAGTTTTTACACAGCTGAATAAACGTCAAGCAGACAACTGATTATCAGAAGTGTGAGATGCTCGAGAATATACTCCGGTGTCCTGTTATATTTTAGAAACCAAGGAGCAGACTGCTGAGTTAATTAAACTCCACCGAAACAATCTGCAAATTTCATTAAAATTTAATAAACTACCATCTTGTCTTTATTTTTAGTTAGCACACACCTTAAACACTTAAAGCTGTAAGCTAATGATAGTTATATAAGAGCAGATGCATGCTGGTGCAATAAGCGGATACATGATATGATTAGTTGACTAATCGCAAAAATAATCGGTGACTAGTCGACTATCAAAATAATCGTTTGTGGCAGCCCTATAGTGGAGACTGTTAAACACAATCTTAGAGAGTGAGAGGATACCTGAGAAATTATGTTCAAGAACATGAGTGATGTGCAGAGTATCTACAGAGGCATAAAGCAGAGTGTCACTGGAGAAGTACAGAGAACACAGATCATGTTGTACCAAAGGAGGCACTGTGGTATTGTATGAGGAAGTCAGGAGTGATAGAAAAGTATGTGTGGGTGGTGCTCGACATGTGTGGGTGTGCAGTAGTGACAGATGGAGTCAAGGTGGTGCTGCAATTATGTCAGGGATCTGCTCTGAGCCCTTTCTTATTTGAAGTGGTGATGGACAGGCTGACAGATGAGCCCAGGCAGGAGTCTGTGGGGATATGACGTTTGCAGATAACACTGATCTGTAGTCAGAGTAGCGTGCAAAGGGAGGTATGTGCTGGAGAGAAGAGGGGAGTCAACAGAAGCAAGAAAACACGTGTGAATTAGAGGGAGAGAAATGGAAATTGGAACGTGCAAGGAGCAAAGGTAGTGAAGGTGGAGGAGTTTAATATTCTGGGATCAACCGTTCAAAGCGGAGGAGGAGTGGATGAAGATGAGTGTCAGGAGTGTTTTGTGAATTGAAGATGGAAGTGCCTGTTCAGAGGGCGAGTGGATTCGTTAAAGAAATGATCATGATGATGATGATGGTGGTGGTGGAGCTGCCAGACAGAAGGAAAAGAGGAAGACCTTAGAGAAGATTCGTGGATCGTGTAGGAGGACATGCAGAGGGCTGGTATGACAGAGGAGGATGATGATAGAGATCGTTTGAGCAGATGATCCGTTCTGATGAGCCGTAAAGGGAGCAGCAGGTGATCTTGTATGAGCACCATGTTGTCATAATGTTGTTTTCGGTGAGTTCATTGTGGTTTGTTCTCCATCTTTTTCAGATGTCTTTAAAAACGCCATGAAATTGGGAACTTTTCCAGCTATCCTGGTGACATACACAGCCAGCGCCTTACTGCATGTTAGTAAGATGATGCACACTTCAACACTTGTATCCAGAGTCTATACAGTATACTAAATCCATG